TTTATCAGTTATTATATTTGTTACCTATTGTTAAACAGCAAAATACCTCACATTCAGGTGGCTTAAAATGAAAATGATTTATTTTTACTCAAGAACCTACAGATTGGCTTTGCAATTATTCTGGTCTTAGAAGGGTTCATTCATGAGTCACTTGATGTGGTATAGATGGCTATACTATATTGACTGGTTCTCTTGGATGGTTGGGCCAGCTTGTTTTCGTGATTGTACCAAGGATTTAAAAAGCAAGTATAGTCATGCAAACCATTATAAAGCTTATTATCAGAACTGGAATACCACTTCCTGTTGCATTTTATGTCCAAATCAAGTCTCAAGGCCAGTCAATATGCAAAGGGTTGGGTAAATAGATTCTACCTTATAAAGAGAGGAAATTTGAGGTCAGGCACACTGCAAGTTGTATAGATACAAAGAGCAGACAAAATGAGATCATTTTTAGAATCAATTGTATGGTTATTTGACTATTTTAAAAAGTTGATAATCTGTCAAGCACATAGAAGCTTTTCAAGAATCTATGCTTAATAATATATTTCCCCATCATCCCACAGCCCTCTTCCTCAACACAAAGTAACCATCATCCTGAATCCAACGCATATTATCTTTCATCTTGCTTTCATTTTTACATGTTATTGTTATACATATGTTACTTTCTAATCTTTTACTTTATCTTGCAGTATTTAGTCATTCAGAACTTATTTTTCGTTCTCTATTATGTTGATGATGTTTATCCATACAATTGCATGTCACTATAACTCATTGGCTTTAACTGCTATCTAATAGTCCAGTGTGTGCCTTCATTTTACACTTCTATCTGTTTTCTGCCGTATTCCCATCACAACTGTCATTGAGCCTTGAATAAAGTCTTTCAACCAACTAGTATCTGATTCCCTTAACAATTACGTAGGCAAGACTCTTTATTGTCCAAAAAAAATTCTTAAAAAAACTCAGGTAGCAAGAAGGCTGTTCATTATGTGTTGCTTTCAAAAAAAAGTGTAACAAAAGGCAAAATTAATCATTCTCAAAGTTAGTGAAGTTAATATTAGTATTTTTGTGGAAAAAGAAAAGGTTACTTGTGTATTCTCTTATCTCCTAATATGTGGCTTCTGATTTAAAAGCTGGATTTTTTTTCCCTAATGATAGGCACTGTGTTTATGAGTATATGACTGTGAGCTGCTGTTTCCAAAATGACAGGCACTAAAGACATTAAAGAGCTGCACTAACGCTCTGCCAGTTCAGGACCAATGCCAGCATATGATATGTGCCAGTGGACAGTGTGACTTAGGGGCCCGAATATACAGGATTCCAGATCTCTACTACTGAAGAGCTAATCGTGCTAATTCTGGATGCAGATTAAGGTCCCCCCAGGTCCTGTGATGAAATTGATGAGCATTTCTCTCTGCCTCTTCTTGTGAATTGAGATTTTTATGGGCTATCTTATTGGGTATCATAATTGAAAGTAGGGAAGTCATTTTTTGTATTCCCCCTACATTGCTAAATTTATAGAAACAGACCCTACAGCATTAAATTGGCCACATTCCTCTTCACATACTTCTATTGAGCCAAGTGTCTTTTATCTTCCTTGAGTCATGTACTATTTATCTGATCAAAATTTTACATAAGTGTTGTTCTGTGTATGTGATATGGGAGGAAAGAACAGAGGTTTGAGAATATTCAAGGGTCAGCTATGTGTATACGCTATAGAACTGGTCAGCTGTACAGTTGTAGCATAGTTCTTTATAGAAACAAAGCAGGCCAGCGCCGCAGCTCACTAGGCTAATCCTCCACCTTCCGGTGCCGGCACACCGGGTTCTAGTCCCGGTTGGGGCGCCGGATTCTGTCCCGGTTGCCCCTCTTCCAGGCCAGCTCTCTGCTGTGGCCATGGAGTGCAGTGGAAGATGGCCCAAGTGCTTGGGCCCTGCACCCCATGGGAGACCAGGAGAAGTACCTGGCTCCTGCCATCGGATCAGCGTGGTGCAGTGACCACAGCGCACCGGCCACAGCGGCCATTGGAAGGTGAACCAACGGTAAAGGAAGACCTTTCTCTCTGTCTGTCTCTCTCACTGTCCACTCTGCCTGTCAAAAAAATAAAAATAAAAAAATAAAAAAAGAAACAAAGCCAACAGAATATACAATTATGCAGATACATAAGAGGAGATTTAATATGGGATTTGGCTTGCATGATTATGGAGGACAAGAAGTCTTAGCACGTGCTGTCTGTAAGATGGAGAAATAGGAAAGCAGGTGGTGTGGGTCTGAGTTCAAAGCTCTGAAAACAGGGAGCTCCAAGTGCCCAAGGGCAGAAGATAGATGTCCCAGGTCAAGAAGAAAGAGGAAATAAGCTCTTGCTCTACAGTTTAGTTTCATTTTGGAGGGCTCTCAATAGATAGTATATTGCCTGCACACATTGAAAAATATGAACCTTTTTATCTGTCAAATGATTCAAATGTTTATCTCTTCCTGAAACATCCTTTTAGACACAGAAAGTTTTATGAGCTATCTGGTCATCCCTTAGCTCAGTCAAGTCAACACGAAAATTAATTGTCAAAACAGCCTAGGAGTTTAAATTCCTGAGCAGTGACCTTTCCAGGCAGTGTCTAGCTGTGTGAGTTCCAGAAAGACCATTATCACCAGGTTTTACTTTCTTTAACAGAAAATTTGCAATGAATTACATTGGGTTCAATGGAATGACTTTTCTTTCCTTTTATAGAGACATTGTGGGTACAGTTTAATTGTCCTTCAGACCCTGGAACACAAAATGCATCCTGCCCCATCACACCTTTCAGAAATATTACTTTATCTAATGACCCTCTAGCTCTTTTCTCACCTATTTCCTCATATAGCCCTGCCTGTAGTTAATCCAAACTCATTCATCCAACTCAGTTCAAAAGCCACTTCAAAGATTTTACTATCCCTCTTATCTACCTGTTCCTATAGTACCTTAGCCTTTATCATCATTATACTCATTATGCTCGTAATTAAATAATCACTCATTTCATCCCTATTGAAAAATTAAACCAAAGAATGACCACATCTGTCAACATGTATTTTTATGTTCTACACCTAGCAGTCATGTGTTAAATGATTACAAAGTAACACAGCATAAACATAGAGACATACATATGATTTTATGTAAATCTTTAGAAGGTTTATATATACTTTTCAATAAAAATTTCTAGTGATCATTAAATTCCTTTACAGTTGAAAAATGGACATGTTTTGCATAGAAAACTTAAGAAACATTTAAGAAAAGATCAAAGAGTAGGGGATTGTGAAAGAGAAAGGGGAATATAAAGAAAATTAAAAGGAGTCCCTTGGAGTACTGCTAAAAGTTGTATGCTTGTGCCAACATAGACTTCAATTGCTTTCAGCACAAAGCAGATACTAATTAGTGGAATAATCTTTGTTTCTCAGTTTGAAAGAATGCTGTGATTGCTTTCCTCCAGTGAGAGACCAGGCCTTACTAGTTGTAAAGATCAATTGACAGCATGTGAAAGCCTCACCAATTAATGGCTGCATGTCACCTAAGTGGCCTGAAGAATGAATATCCACACTGCACAGCAGGTTAGGTGCGATGCATTTGCTTCTATATGTTTTGCTCATTGTCATATGTCATTTGTATATCTTCTTAAGTAATATAGAATGCTAACCTAGTGTTGATAGTTCTTCATAGCTAATTTGTGAAATAATGTATTTCTGTGTGTTTACTAGTGAAAACTGCAACTGTACACATCAAAATTCCTAACATTTCAATAATTATCAAATCATTTTATTACATATGGCACTCATTCTGTACATCTATTTCATGTTTAAATTATATTTATAATGAATTAAAAGATGAGAATTAATTATATGAATTCAGAGAGCTCTATAAAATTAGAGAAAACTTTTGGTCTCATAGTTCTTCCTTTATAGAAAAAGAAAATCACAGATCATTCTAGTAATAGGATCAAGGATGTTTTGTGTTTACATCAAGTTATCACCATGAATCCTCTTACACATCATATATTCCTTTTTTCATTACTGCAAGGTTTTAATTTGTGGCCTCAATTTTTAAATATTTTAATAATTGTGTTCTAGTGAGTTTATCTCTAGATAGTTTATAAGCCTTTTGGAGAAAAACAATGAAATGAAAAGTTAGTGAAGAGTAAACAAATTAATAATTTGTAAATGCAAAATCATTTTCTGTAAATAAATGCTGTCATTCTATAGTGGAACGTATGAAAGCACAGGGGCAAACTCATCTATTTCCCAAAGCCTATTTCCTCTGGTTTCCAATTTTATTCAGGAAATAGTCTGAGCTTCTAGAAAGGTCCCAGGACATGAAATAGTCATATGCAAATAACCATTGTAGCTGTTAATTTCAATATGTCAAAATATTAGATTTACATCTCTCTATGGATATCAGCATTTTAAAAAGAGAAATGACATCCCTGATTTCATTCTATTAAGGCATTTAAAGTAAGCAGTCCCACACTGCTCTCTAATCACTCAGCAGAGAAGAGGGTTTAGCTATGCAGGCACAGACTAAAATCCCTTGTTTCTCTTACTGAAATGCATTGCAAATAGAAATATTGGGCAGTGCTTGCATTACCAACCACTACAAGCCTCTTTGAGGGATTTGCTATTTCTTCATGTAACTAGGAGAGCTTTGCATTGAACTCCATATCCATGGTGGTTTCACCTGGCAACCACCCATGCTTGTATTAAATCTTTCCGTTGCATATTGTTTGCTCTTGCTACTAATTCCCTTTGGAGCAATGTGTCTTGGCTGATTGAAATAGCAAAAACCTCTTTCTGTTTGTGAGAATTAACCTGTCTCTGTATTGTCACTCCAGTCACTGCCTTGTAAAATTATCTTCTGACACAGGCAGATGGAACAAAACAGGAGAAGCGGGCACAACCACTAGACTGTTAATGGGAATAAAGGAAAGAACATCTGGGTGTGAGCTGGTTCTATCTCCAACACTAATTGACCATGACCTTCATTCAGGCTCTGGCTTGAACATTCCAGATCTAAGATTTTATTGTATGTAAAATAATAGTGTTGGTCTACAGTAGGAGTCAGTTAATTTCAATGCACATATAGATACCCTAGGAATTCTGTTAAAATGTAATTCCTGATTCAATAAATTTGGGATAAAGTAAACTATTTCCATTTGTAACAATCTTCTGGGATGATGATGATGTCATTGATCTAGGAAGTTAGGGAGAGAATCATAAAAATCCATTATTAGCAAAGTTTCTATTTAACGAGTACTTATGTAAGTAAACAAGAAAACCTATTCCAATATTACAATGGAGATATATTCAATTGTAATGTATTATGTTCATTCTGTCATTAAGTGAACTTAAATATCCCTATCTTTTTCTAAAACCCATTTGCCCACAAAAAAACATAATAAAACTGATGTACCATGTGCTTACTTCTAGCAAATTCTATAGTTAATGAATTGGTGTCAGAGTGGTCACATGACAAAGATGCATTTAAATCCAAGTCTTATAACAGTGATCTCTCTCAGGTCCTCTGCCCAAAAGAATGAAGTAGTAGATTCAAACAATGATACTTTTATCCAAACACCGGTTGTGACATTGCTGTTTTGAAAAACTACAAGAATCATTGTTTTTCCAGGAATGAGGGTTTTAAAAATATGTGGGGAGGAAAACACAGGGAAGCAGATACACTGATGTGGGCTATAAAGATTTAGGACTATGAAGAAAAGTGCCCCACCAAAGAGCACTGGTAGTTAAAATGCAACTCCATCCAAGTATCATCTGAGACTCCTGTGAACTGTGGAAAATACTGTAGAGGTGATTACAGGGGCAGACTCAAGGCCAAGTCCCTACGTCACCTACATGTTCAGCTCCTACTCATTTTATGTGATCACACAACCATTTCGCCTATGCTCCAAATAGACATTTCCACAAATATTATTTAGAAAACAGATGAAATCATTTATTCACTGTTCTCTTGATGAATTAATAATACCCAATTTAAAATTATGTAGATAAGTAGATAGATAAGAAGAGAGTCTGTTGGACGGATAGATGATATACTGTTAAATTCCTTCTAGCTGATATGAGGTGAAACTACAAAACCATGTAATGGATTGTTTGTAAAAGTCTATTTCGGTGTGAAACTGCTATCTGACATATATTTCGATTACTATTTTAGGAGTGTTCCTGGGGTGACTCCTGCTTGCTTTTTTTGTCCTCAGCTGAACCCTATTACTGTCAGCCTTACCCTTAAAATACCTCACACAATTTAGAGGCCAGAATAAGCAGTGTGTATTTTCTAAACCACAAGAGAAGATTGGTTTTTATGTACTTTCCATTATTTAAGCATTTAACAAATATTTGATAAACATATATTATACAGCAGACAATATACTAGCTACTAGAAAAATTAGTCTTGCTTTTCTTTGCCCACCAGGAGCTGTGGCAAATATCTCACTCATTCAATACCCATAGATACCCATGATATGAAAGTGAATATACTCATTTGGTTATTGTGGTACAAATTGATCCAGAAAGGTGACTTTGTTAAGACTGAATGTTCCATAATGACAGAATGTAAAGTTTTACCTGTACCTTCTAAACCAGACATTAGTTCTTCAGCTGTACATTCTTTGCACTTCATGTTTTCAGCTTCCTGATTTGGTAGGATTATGACATCCATGACAACTTTTTCCAAACACATTTCTCTCATGTACATCTAGAAATACACAACAAAGTGTCTTGGGACTCCAAGCCTGTGTGCTACTTGTCATCTGAACAGTCCGCCTTTTCTTGGAGATGTGCGGCAAAGGCAAGTCCAGAGTTTCTACATCCTCTCTTCTCTCTGCATAAAACATATAGGAATGCAAAAACATTCAATCAAAGATTTTAATAGCAAATATTATTCAAATTTATGATTCTTCTTGCCCAGGAATGTTATGTGTTAAGTAGTGTAAAACAGACTATAACTATACAAGTTGTCTCATTCATTTATAAGAATTTCTGAAAATATTACATAGATTTTGGTAGTATAGTTTGCATAGCTTTAAAAAGTATGTGCTAACTTTACCCAGTTTTATTTGCTTTCCGCAGAACAGCTGAACAGAAAAAAATGTCTTCCTCTGAGCCTAGTGACTTTCATTTTGTTTGCATCATCCAGAGGGTTGACGTCTCTCTCTTTAAGTGAAAATGACCTTCCCTATTGAGTTTAAAGCATCAATTAAACTGATTTAATATCAGAGAGTACCAACATAATTGTTATTTAAGTTAATTTCCTACTATTGAAGATATTATCTTGGTATATCTATTATTACTCTCAGTAATTCAAAACTTCAAGATATTATTTATTGAATGCCTACTGGGTGCCAGGAAATACCCTGGGCTCCAAAAGAATAAAGGCCGACTTAATCATAAAGGACATACAAATGATTAAATGAGACAAAGTATATGAAAACCCAATATAAATGAGAAAGGAACCAAAATGTAAGAAATCACTTCTGCAGTATCTTCATTTGAAAGGAAACATAATTTTAGTCATACTAATGTTTCTCTTCTTCTTGAAAAAAAAAAAAGATGTTGCTAGTCTTAAAAACCAAAAACATATTATCTATACTTATGAACTACCTGGAGTCCATATTGTTTTAAGTTGTCTTGAAGAAAAACTCATCTGGTGTATGCTACAATATTTTGTAGATTCTAATCTCTTGCCTACAGAGAGAAATAATTTTTCAATGCAAAGGAGTCATCAGCAGTAGCACTCAATATGACAAAGCAAATGTGAAGTGGGTCTATTAGCAAAAGACTTTTTGACTTTTCAAGATGTTCAATTGAACATTTAAAAGGTTTAGTCTCATATCAGTTCTAGAAAGCCCCCCTGGGGCAGGCTTAAGTAACTATGCCATTAGGCACTCAGCTGCAAATTGCCTATTAAATCTGACTGAAACTGTAAAATTGCTTTTCACAATGCAAATTAATGTAAATAAGAACAATTGGTTACACATATCACAGGCTATCAAATTGTGGACAGATGATGCATACTTTCCCCACCCCTTCTGAATTAGAATTACCTTAAAGTTATATTTAGTTGTTCATAACTAACTTGGGTGTCCCTATGATAAATTTTATAGATTTATTAAAGGCAGGACATATGACCAATATGTGTTATCTATCACATTTAATATAAATGTCTTTGTACTTTTGTTCCGGTTCAGTGGGCATAAACCCAAAACATACATTTATCTTTTAGGTTATAGTAGCATCATTCCATTACTAAACACTATTGCAAAACTGTATCTTATTTTTCACAAATGCATTGTAAGAATGAAAAAAGTTAGTGCAAATTATAAAATGCCATATCTTATTTGGTAATATACATGGAGGAACCATATTACTACTTTTTAAATTCTTAGTTTCCATGGCTCTGAAATGAAGGCAGCAGTGTAAAAGAGGAATGTTCAAAGTGATATGAGATAGGGCAGGTAGCTAGATTAGGGTCAGGAGGTGGAAGCCACAACTCCCCCACCCTATGTAATGCTACCCACCTACCTGTCAAACAAAGGGACCCTTTCCCAAGATGTACTTCCCCTTACCTGGGACCTGGGGACAGTACTATGATACCACTCCCTTTCTAAGCTCCCAAGAAGCCTGGTAAGGGAAGGAAGTGCTCTCTCTCACTCTCTCTCCCTCCCTCTCTCTCTCTCTCTCTCTCTCCACATGAACCCTGAACAAGCAGAGTATGGAAATCTGTCTCTTTTCCCTTCCTGGCGCACTATCCCTGAATGGTGACAATGTGTGTGTATGTTTGAGTGTGTGTTTTCCTCACCTTTTGATTAAACTTTATCACTCTGTGCATTGTGGTCATGCCTCTACTTAGACTGCTTCTCTAAGTAAGAGGCAAGAGCCTGGAATAGGAATTTAGGTCCAACCTAGCCTACAACAAATGATTAAATTAAAATGTGTGTTGATGTTTAGAGGTATTTATAAACAAATCCCTTTATATAGCTGAAATTCAAAGCAAATTAAGATTCAGGCAAATAGAGGTTAAAAAAATGGTTATGTTAGGGCAAATTTACAACAAATCTAGTTGTATAGATCTTATTGGCTTTAACTATGATTCTAGAATCAAGTAGCAGTCTGGACCAAATACAGTTCAGATGCTCCATGGTGGCTATGTAGGAATCAAGTTTTTCTGTGAACATAAGAAAACACACTTTCCTGCTTTAAAGTGGAAAGGTTCTAGTCATAGATTAGTTGGTGGTTTCTTTCTCTTTCTTTCTTTCTCTCTCTCTCTCTCTCTTTCTTTCTTTCTCTCTCTCTCCTTCCTTCCTTCCTTCTTTCTTTCTTTCTTTCTTTCTTTCTTTCTTTCTGACAGGCAGAGTGGACAGTGAGAGAGAGAGACAGAGAGAAAGATCTTCCTTTACCGTTGGTTCACCCCACCAATGGCCGCTGCACCGCGCTGATCTGAAGCCAGGAGCCAGGTGCTTCTCCTGGTCTCCCATGCGAGTGCAGGGCCCAAGGACTTGGGCCATCCTCCACTGCACTCCTGGGCCACAGCAAAGAGCTGGCCTGGAAGAGGAGCAACCGGGACAGAATCCGGTGCCCTGACCAGGACTAGAACCCGGGGTGCTGGCACCTCAGGCTATTGAGCTGCATTTATTTATTTGAAAGTCAGAGTTACACAGAGAGAGGAGAGGCAGAGAGAGAGACAAAGAGGTCTTCCATCCGCTGGTTCACTCCCCAATTAGCTGCAAGGGCCAGAGCTGTGCCGATCCGAAGCCAGGAGCCAGGAGCTTCTTCTGGGTCTCCCAAGTGTGCGCAGGGGCCCAAGGACTTGGCCCATCTTCTCCTGCTTTCTCAGGCCACAGCAGAGAGCTGGATCAGAAGAGGAGCAGCCGGGAGTAAAACCGGCGCCCATATGGGATGCCAGTATTTCAGGCCAGGGAGTTAACCTCGCTGCGCCACAGTGTTGGCCCCCGTGCCGGTCCCCTAGTTGGTGGTTTCTATGTTGTATTTTTTCTATTTTCAATTTGTCCTCTACATTGAGCTTTTTTTTTTTAACTTTTATTTTG